GGTGAGCGGAGGCATATACTTTAGCGCTCCTTTTGGGTTAAAGGCTAATAAATGATTGGACATCCCCTTTTTATTGGCAACAATTTATCTTAAAGGTGTCTCTATTGGGAAAAGTTCGCAAAAAATCATTTGAAAGTACCGTTGCTGGGACATGAAAACATACTGATACTCATAAGATATTAAAGACTTACTCAAATTCCTCCTCCGCTTCTACATTTTCTATCCTTCTTTTTTCCCGGCAGGAATGATGAACACCAGCTCTCACATCATTGAAGATGGCGCCGACTTTTTCTACCAATAGCGAGTATTTTACATCTAAATCCTATGCTCGATTATCAAAATCTAGTACTGCGCTCGCATTTTTTGGCTGGAACGTGCTGGGCAATGACGAGCAGTCGCCACCGTTTCCCAGGGAGTACCTAAATATGGTTGAGGAGGGCATGCGATGCGTAGTAAAATGAAGCTTTAATTATTAATTTTTATAAAAGCGTGGTTGGGCTGGGGCGGCGATATCGGTGGAGATATCAATCTATTTTCCTGCGGCTGATAAGCATAATGCTGTGAATGGGGATTATAATTTTCCTGGCATTGGCAATTTTGGTGGTAATTATCGCAATAATGGCAATCGTCAAGCTGTTGGTCGCTCTGGGGATATTGGCGCAAATATGCGGCTTTACTGTTCGCATGGTTCGGATATCCAACCTCCGATGCTGTGCGATATGCTTTTTCAAAATAAATGGAAGGATCACACCACTTGTTGGCATCAAAATCTAATGCCTTGCCCTCCGTATAACGCAACTCTCTTTCCATATCAAATGGGGCGGGGTATGGTAGATTTTTGGAGTTGTTCATTGGGAGCGAGAAATCCATTGCATCGTATTTTTTCGGTCTTTTTCTGTCAACTGGGTTTATATTCCGGGCATCTATATCTCCCGTTTCATGGTGATATCTGAATTCTTGAACAAAAAATTCCGAATTTTTCAATAAATAGCTTTTGTACTCTTCAGGTGTGGTGTTGAGGTCATAGCAAGGTGAGTGGCTCTGGTAAAACTGCAATGTTGACAATGAAGACGGAGCTGATTCTTGAGAATTACTTTGCACTTGGTCTGCAAAGAAACTCAAGTAATTTGCCGAATCAGAATGACGTTTATGCCGATCGTGTTTGCCTTTTGCTCTTCTATTTTGAAACCAGACTTGGACAGATCTAGATGTCATTCCCAAATGAAGAGCCAATGCCGCGCGAATGCCTGTGGAGGGCATGGGGTCCGTTTCAAAGGTACTTTGAAGCACTTCTAGTTGATATGGCGACGTTTTTGTACGCTTCTTTTTTGCATCCGTATAACCCCGACTTCTACTTTTCTTTGGGGCAGTTTGATTTCCGATGTTTTCTAAATTGATTTCATTGGCTAGCGCGATTAGTTGATCGTTTTCCTTTTCCGCATGATTCGGTAAGTCCATGACAACTTTGATACCGGATTCTACCACAATTCAGGAGCAAAAAGTTAAGTTTAAATTTAAAGCTTAAATTTAAGGTGGTAAATAAATGAACACCAAACGGCGTTGATCATCCAAACGATTGCCAATCCAAATCGCTTTGCTAGCCCAACTAAATAGAAGTCTCAACACGCACACGCACACGCACACGCACACACACACACACACACACACACACACACACACACACACACACACACACACACACA